GTTAATCGTGAACATCTTCCGAATGAGAATCTTGACCTCTCTAATCAATTCAAAGCTACAATGCAATAAGTACATCCATAAACCGAGACAGTCAAGTCTTGTGAACATTGCTGTGCACCATGTTAAAATTATGTCATTTGTATTAAGAGAAAGAGAATAAAATCTAAAATTGTTCATTACGATAACAGAAAGTGTTTACTGCCCCAAACACAGCAGACTATTTTTCACGAATATTAAATTTTGTTTATAGCATACATAAAGATAAATCCTATATCATGTTGGTTGTCCGGTACCATAAATTTGTTTTATACTGAGTTACTAATGTAAACAGTCCCAAATACTGGTCAGTAGCGAATCCATTAACTGCAGTTTGTGTTCCTAATTCTATGAATTATTAAAACACGTGTTTAACATCCCAGGCCAGCATCATTGTAAGATGTCAAGCAGGATGACAAGAGAGTCCTTATTCAAAAGTTAATGAATCATTAGGAGCCAGCAGACTTACAGAAAACATCAGTCTTGTACAGGTGGTGGTGTCAATATGTAATATCTGGTACATGTCGAATGTGACCCAGACAGTTTTGAAGGAACGAATACTCTATATGTAATTGTCAAAAGGAACATGGTTTTTATAACATTATCTTCATGTTCAACAGCTTTATTATCAATTTTCACATTATATTGTTTATAAGGTGAGTGTATCCACGGAATAATGCTAAACGTATATAAGAATGTCTTATATTGTCCATTTATTAGATTTGTCGAATGTGTGCTTACATGCATTTAAGCTATAGATATATGGTAAATTCCATAATGAATAAAGGTATAATTCAGATAGCTATTATTATACTATTCTTAAACAATTGTTTAGCCTATTTGACTGGTGACTAAATCATAACAATTACTTTGAAGGTGTAACGACATTATTGTCTATATAATATTTGAAAAGCCTAACGTCTAATACAGTTGCCATAAAATATAGATATAATACTACGCTATTATGATTTAAGGTAATGCATGTAAAATAAATTAACCTAAATACTTTTAACAAATATATAATATGTATATACATGTATTGTTAATCCACTAATCCTTTGTGCGTAAGTCATTATGGTATTCGATTGTTGATCTGTTGGCTGGCGATTCAATAATGATCTACCAAATTTTAAACGGTACAAACCACAAAGGCTATGACAATTATAGATCTCTTTAATTTATGTATATTTAATACGCTCTGTACATAAAATCAGAACGACTATATTAGCTATGGAGAGGTTTTTGTTGTGTAACGTATTACGATTGAGACAGAGTTGGGTGAATATATAGTACAAGTATTCTATTACGTCTTGTTCTCGTTTTATGCAAACGAGCAAGCCTAGAGATCCTGGATAAATAAAACTCCCATCAGTCCGTTACACTTAATTCGGCCCAGACGCCCATGACCTTGCCATCACATGCTGGTTCATTCTTCTATTGCCATTATATGAAAATAAAAGAGTTTTTTTTTTAACCTATAATTGATCTACAATATTGCGTTTCAAACACGCAACGGGCTATGCATTTCTCCTTTATGTTACCCATAAAAACAAAAGCGTTGTTTGAAAATTTAAAGACGTGTTTAGGAATTGACGTCAATGGCCACTACTGGAACAAATTTTTTTAGTAATTGTCACATTTAAAAGCTTGTTTTAATCAAAATTCAAAACAGATGTTACACGAAGCTTTTCTCGAATATAGCAAAGTTGGTCTAGCCCAAATTCTGTCTCGACTAGATAAACAGGTCCTCAATATAGCTTACAAACCAATTCAACCAGTTAAAGCTGGAAATGTTGAATTTCAACAAAGATGTTGAAACTCGCAATGATCAATTATGCAACCAAAATTAGTCAACGCTGTTTTACTTCTATGCATATTTCAATCATGAACATTTTTTTCAGGTTCGCTGCACAAAGTTTTAATTTGCATAAGGCTGCGTGTAGATCACCCCATCACTTTTCTTATTGTGTGACATCGCAAAGTCACAGACAACGCCTATAATAAACGATACGAATATTTATTTCAGAAACGGCGGATCATATAAATGGATGGGGCCAGCGGGCGTGCTTAGCCCCACAGGCAGTGATCTGAACGGCGGGCGGTAAAGACATGTTTTTGGGGTTCTAGGGGCAGAGTCATCGAAAATTTTGGGTGGTAACGCACTTTTCCAAGAATTAGAACGCCTATCAAAGCCAAATTAAACGCCACCGCTGAGACACCATGCCCTTCAAAACCGAAAAAACACTCCGTTATATGTATGAAATGGTTGAACTACCACCACAAGGAACGGAATACGAATTACTATGAAATGTACCTTCGATTATATTTCATTTGCAATCATTTTGTCCCGTACGAAAAGTCCCTTAGACTGGGATCGAGTTAACTATTTTCATAAAACCTCGCTCTTAGTTTACTTGGTTAAAAAAAAAATATAAAAAAAATAAAAAATCAACAAAGCAGTCAATACAATCCCAAAGTTAATGTTGAAAACCTTCGGGTGTAAACATACCAAATTGGTTTGAAGGGTTTCGTTCAAAATTATATACGCAATGCATTTGGGGAATTCAAGACTTGTTAAAAGAAATAATTAACCAAAAATAAAATTGTTAATTTTTGATAAAAACGTAAGGGTCTAAAGAGCTCCTAGACCACCCGGCGGCACAATCCATGTATATACAGGCGAAAACTAAGTACATGGTTGAAAACAATGTCAAGCAGCTATTCAAGTATACACTAAAATAACCAATTCGTTATGTGTAGATGAGATATTTCTGAAAACCAAGAGACAATGTTCTTATGAAATATTAAGTAATCTCCTGTCAAAATACTCTACATTTATCTTACATTTGGATGCAACAATACACAGGCGTCAGATTCATAAACTGGATTCATCCATTAGGATAAACTAAATGTCCTAAATATAGCACTAGTTTCGTAACATTTTTAACTGTTACGGCCTTTTACACAATGAAATTTCTGTTTGAGATTTATGTCAACTATTTCTGTGAAATAAAATAATTTTCGATGGTGACCTTTAGAGGTCAAGAATACTAATAGTGTCATGAATATAGATAAGTTGACCTACTCCTCACATGTTTCATATATTTTACCGATACATAACACACATAATATATATAATAAATTAATTCGCCTTATTCTAAAAATAGGTACGTAATGTGTCCAATTAGCAGATATGAAGTGTAATAATCTTTCTTAATTCATGATCAAGCCAAATTAGCAAGTGCTTGTTTCTCGACAAAAATAAAACCCATCCTTAGTAGGCTAATCTCTTATTTGGCATGGAATGCATGCTGAGATTGATCCGCAAAAGATTCGATAGAAACGATACTTTATAACTGAAGGTTTACGGTCTGGGAACTGTACACTTGAATTATTAGTATGCGTAGTAAAGAGCGAACTCGCTAGATTAAGACGAACCAAAGTTAAAAAAATATTGAAATCTATAAATTCTAAGCCGATTTCTATAATATTTATATTGATTGGTTGTTCCTCTATTAATTTCAACAGAAAAATATAATACCGTAGTGTAAGCATTTTAGCTTAAAATAGCCACAAACCCTCGCTTAAGAAAGGGTAATCAGCACAGAATGACAATATCTCAGATTATTGGTTGACCAATATTTTAATTATCCGATGTTTTAGAACATTTGTATACTGATGTAAAAAGTAAGAGTGACAAAATGAACATGGCAAAGCAAGGTAATGAGTGATTGATGGAAGTGTTCAAGTGTTGACAATCGGTGAGCCAGATGTTAATCAAATAAACTTGTGTTTCTAGTGTTTTATTGTGAACTTGACAATGTTTGGCTGTCGTCAACTTTAATTAGTTCAACACACACATCAATAGTTAAATATACTGGAATCGTGTTCTAACACTTCTACATAATTCCTTGTCCAATTTCGTATTGCGTTCTAAGCGGGGACAGCGTTCCAAATGTGTAAGTTTGGTCGAGGTCGGTCTAGGCCAGATTACCAGTTAACTTTCCTCTGACCTCCATTTATGTTTATTCATTGAATGAATTGTGTAACGTTTGTTGTTGATTTATGTGGAGGTGCACAGAACTGTAGTGTGAGAATATTAAATTGTTATTGAAAATACGCAAATAAACTATTCTAAACCCGTGGTCTGCCAATGGTCTGATGTTCGCGTATACTACGTACTAACTGATGATTTACCTTTCTTGTGGATTAAAAAGTATTATATTTTTCAGAATCCTCTTCAGAAAGTACGACCCCATGCTTAATACAAGGCGTGGTCTGTTATTCTGGATTACGAAAACAATTGTTTCGAGCCCAGCTTTAGTCAAATCCCAAGGTGAAATGAAACAAATAGAATATGAAAAGGTTCTTTTCTTCTGGCAATCCGTATCGTAATCTACTTGTACCCTTGATCCCCTTTACTTCAGCTTTGGTCATCCAATATCTAAGTCGGAAGTAAATAGTAGGAATGAACTGACCGATTGTCATGTGTAAATTTATTGTCAGTGTCCATAGCCGGTATTTACCGTTCATCTGACATTCACACAAGACAGTAAATAGAACAACATAGAATCGGTGAGAGTCAGCTTTGTCTTGTTAAATATTGCCAAGTTTTTAAAATGTATCTAACATACAGAGAATTATGACTGAACCCTTGCTCTTGTATACTATGTGATGTGTTAAACAACTACTATCGGTTGGCATTACTTTGAAGTCATTAATTCAGACAAAGACCGATTCCTATTAATAACAATATACAAATATTCCAAAGACAGATAAAAGAGGGCGAAAACAAATGGGATTCGAAGAAGAGTAGGAGAAAAGCGCCATTTACCTAGCAAAATGCCCACCACCCCAACTCGACATTGATCACGTAACAAAATATAATTACTGTATGATATTCTCAAAGTCAGCAAACCTCGAATCCCATTATTACCCTTTCAAATGTCGCTCTAAAAACTTACCTTGTAATGTTCTAGCACGCCTAAAGCACGTGTATAACCATCTTGGGAATATACACACAATGCCGCCAAAATTTCGAATATCTGTTTCCTGACAGCGACTTCATCTTTCTCTAAAGCTGAAATTATAATGAATTAGACATATCCCTGTTAAAAGTAAATATTTTCAGTACTTGGATAATAAATAAGATAACTTTTTGAATTTCATTTCCCGTAAATACCCCATAATTTTAAAAAATAACTATTTCGAATTTATAATATCTAAAGCCTTTGGAAGTATGGGCAAACTTCGTATACATGTGGAAAATTACGTATACGAGTAAAATGCTGACAAATATGAGTGAAATTGTTACACCTTTCAGTGATATCTTTTCATGACACGACTTGGGCTACATTTCGGTATTTCAAAATTCAGCTTGTTGATGACTAATATTGAATCTGTGTCAAATAGCCTTCTTGTCCAAACCACGTGGGTAATATTGTTTTAGTACAGTCGTTAAAAAGTTTACTTTCGTTGTTGTACCATAATAAACTCTACTTGTATGTTTTTTGTTTAAATAAGATACACCATGTTTGAGCAACTTAAAATATTAGACATGGACTGGTGGCGTGACAAAAGAATGGTTATTACAGTTAATTATGAAATGTATAAATCAGCAATATTAAGAACATTATTCGCAATTGCTTTCACAGCTCTACATCGCAGTTCTACGAATGCTCTTATAATATCATACCTTTGGTGATTATCGTTATCAAGTACCAGAGCCTACCAGTATCATATGGTAAAGAATAATGTGAAAGCAATAGTTAGACGTCGGGGTACGGCTTTAGTATATCCAAGATTGACTAAGAACAATTAAACAGCCTAATGTTAGGGTGGGTTTATTCTGCGGTATATTTGTTTGGATAATTACCGTTTAAGAGATCCATTTAAATATGTTAGACAGGAAGGGGATCCAGACTTTTTGGACCTGAAACTGTGCCCCAGCCTAGTCTCCGTCAATACGTGTACGATCGACATGAAATGTGGCATGCATGTTTCTTGGAATTGTGAGGCCATATAACAAATCGAAGTCTGCCAATCGATGCGTAATTGCCCAAGGAACACGCATGCTGAGTTCTATGTTGATATTACATGAATTGACGGAGCCTTAGGCTTTATTCAAAGAGTGTGGCTCACCAAAACAACAAGCTGAGTAGCGGCTGGGGCCCAGTTACTGGTCCGAAAAGGTCTTAGGTCTAAGATCATTTCAAGGGGCCCTCTATCAGGTCACTATTTACTTGAAATATATTTATTAGCACATATCGTGTTATTATTGATACCTAGAATAGGGATAAAATGTATTAATAAAAACATTTGTTTTGTAAGGGTCCCTAAGCTCCCACTTAATCCCGCACTGGTTAGGTATGCGATTATATTAAAAGAAAAGTGGCATCCAGCGTTTCAGAAATTCTAATATACAATTAATAGTAATATTTTTATTTTTCTATAGGAAATCGAATACATTTTCTCACCCTGAAACAAGTTAATCTACCTTAAATACCCCCCCCCCCCCGCGCGGACTTCCCATTTTAATTTTCGACTTAAACAAATATATGTGTATAATTCTGCGTTCTGTAGTTTGTATTCATGCTACTTCATATTTTAGGGCCTATATGTCTTTTATCTAAGAGATTTCTATGTATATTGCTGTTAACTTCCTTCGCGAATGCATACCTGCGTTAAAAGGGCCACAGAGCCATTTAAGAGTAATGTAGCACGCTTTATAACTGACACTGCTACACGTTGCGCTGAACAACAATATTTTGTGTTGGACATTGAATGGTGTCATTTGTGTAAGTATCAGCAATAATGTTCATATATATTCGGGTATTCGATTCGAGCAACTCGGTATTACAATTTAACAAATCCTGATATAAAGTTCCCAGGACTTTAGTAGCCATCCCCACCACGTATGTTTGACAAGATTTAGGGATTGGCGTTTGTCCAGTTTGCATTTTCCGTACCTTTTGAAATGGAAGTAAGACGATCGGGCATCTTGTATGTTGTATTAACTCGAGACAGATAAACGAGATATGTACGAATAGCTAACTTAAAACAATAAGGATCATTCCACAATGTTGAAAGATACAAGTGTTATCGCCGCGCAGATCAAAAGATTTTTACCTTAAACGTTGTTCGTTCATCTATCTAAAAGATGGGCTTGTTGTCAATGACAAACACAGCTGAAGCTCTTACATGAAAAAAGGATGCGCCATGTTGATTTTGGCTTTGTTATATAGCTTCTGTCTTTTTGAACAGTAAATAGTTGAAACTTTATTGAAATGTTTCTACCCAAGTAATTTTTATCAAAGTTAACAGATATCGTTGTTATAACTTCAGACAGGAAATGCTGGATTTTCTAAAACTCCAGTGTTTCTCTTTTAGACTTAAAATACGATGGTCATCATATACACACGATTGTTTGCTATGATCTCATGTCCATGAACATTTCACATTTTTTTTTAAATACATGTTTATAACACATGAAGAGAACTAGCCCAAGTACATCTCTATGGTGACTACCGCTTTAGGATTACCTTCCCCACTCAATTAACATTATCTCGCCTATAAAATGGCCGAGTTTTAATGTGTTAAAAATCTTAAATACAGTTAGTTTCTAGAAGTCAAGCCATTTAAAATTTCGGTGTGCTGTTTATGTTTTATTCAATAATGAAAGCTAACAGTACGAGTTACTAAAACCTTTCGCCTCTCGGTTTGAATGCAAGCAAATATGTATAGCCATGTTAAGTAAACAGTTTCTAGTGGCTTTGCCAATTTACACATTCTAGATGCATATTCAAACATTGCCAGATAGCTATTGTACGAATATTATTTCAAAACTTCGGGTAAAGATAAATATCCTTGAGGAAAATCTTAACACACAGTTTGTGAGATATGACAGAATGGTGTAAGTAATATAATTTCGGACCATTAAAGTCCAAGATTACCACCCCTGTATCCAATATGAAATATATTTTTAACCTAGTGTATCTGAAGATATTACAGATGTTCGAATATATGACTAATATCCTCTTTTGGATACTAGCTTAACGAAAATATAAAATGATCAGCAATAATGTTGAAGCATGTCCCAAAATAGAGTTGGTTTCTATTAAACTTAGACATAAAATTATACGACAGCGATTTTCTATGGCTTAACACAACAGTTAAACTTTTAAATTGATAAAAAAAATTATATTCTTAAAATACCCCCTTCCCCCTCCCCCCCCAAAAAAACCCCCATAAAGTAAGGTATTTATTTTGTAATAAGTTAATAAAAGTACAATATCTTATAAAGATTTGAACAATCTGGCAAATTGCTATAGTTATTTCTAATTGTCATTAATCGATAATAAATATATAATGTACTATTAAGACTATGTATAAATTATGCAATACTGTTTCATTTAGGTCAAGTATTATTTGGGATTGACCGGAACTAAAACCATCCTTCATTTTTCACAGATATTCCCCCCAAAATCATAATGGTAGGATTTTCTTACCTGAGGCGAATTTGCCCAAAAAGTCTTCAGTTTCAATTAAATAATCCAAACTTGTTGTGGATTCCATTGTTTGATTAATTAGTTATTCCAAAGTACTAGAGAATGAATTATACACAATAAAACACGCATAGTTTCCAGTTTCTTACATCGTTAACTTTAGAAAATATCTCTATATCCATTGTACATTAAGGTTACTTCTACTTTGAGGGTAGTCAATGCTATCAAATTGTTTACCTGCCCGAGAGTTTTGATTGACGTATTTAAGCGACCAATGAGATAAAGGACACGCCTATCTTATTTACCTGTATGGACTGGTAACACTCGAATCTTTATTTTAACAAAGCTAATTAACTTGGAAGATTCCAGAATTTACAAATCGAGTTTATTTCAGCGAAAAATTTTACACTGTCTATTAAAAAGTTCATTTTAAAACGATTTAAGTTAATTTCCATGTCAAATGTAGTCCAGGTGTTTAAGATTGATACGACCGTTAAGATTTAAAAATATGATTTGATGCTAGCCACCCTTCATTGCCTTATTTTATTTAAACCTGAACAACGATGGAATGTATAAAAAAACTAGGATGATATATGATGTATATACTAACAACTGGTGTGGAAAAAAGGGATGACGCTGCTTTATTGTTAGAACTATGTGGACAATTTTCATATACATCGACCCATTTACATAACAATATTGTAAGCTCTATTTAAATTGTTATAACACATGGTTACACTTTCTAGAACATCTGATATCATTTTGATTTGAGGAATTCACATAGCTTACAATCTTTTGTTATACCACAGTATTAAGTATAAACATTAAAATGTACGCCCTACACGAATTTATTCGATAATGCACAAAAATGAGAAATAGAAAAACTTTCGCATTTTAATGAATCGGGAAATTAATTCTATAATCGTCGTCTAAACATTTGTCATATGCGCATCGTCGCTGATCTATCAAATTTAGTATTTATCTCGTGGTGGGTGGTGTGCAAACTTCTGGATATGCTTAACCGTTCCGAACCACCTGGAAAATGTGTGGTCAATGCTACTACTGTTCGTCGTTTAATGTCTAATTAAACGGGGGGGGGGGGGCTTTTCATTTTATGAATTTACACTGTCCCTTTGATTATGGTGTATGTTTAAGGGGCTGGGGACGGGGGTGGGTGGTATATCCGTACACGAAGTTTATGATCAAGAACTGTTTTCAGTAGATTTATTGAAACTTCATATTAATTTTTGACAGAATAAATACTAATGTATAAAACATGTCTTCAGTCACAAACCAGTTATTTACCAAAACATCAAAATGTAGGTACGTGAATATCCTAATATAAGTTATCATTGTCTAAGCCTATTATCACGAGAAAGGCGGCAATTTAGATTAAGTGTGAGTTATAATGATTGTGTTATCATCATTAGGAAAGTTTAGTTAGTATATGTTATTTATTCTTACATCAAATCTTCAATTATCAAACCCGTTAGTGTGTATAGGAAAAGCTTATATCACCTACATACTGATATCTGATCATTACTTATCCACAAAACATGGAATTTACACAGGACAAGATAAGCAAACTTTATAAATATAGCATCTTTACTGACACAACACATAAACTGCCAATCATCTGCGAAATTGATAATTTCACTCACAATTAAAGAAAATAAGACATATTCTTAAACATACACGCGGAATCAGAATGATATATGCAACAAAATGTTTAAATATTTCGAATTCCAGGATTAAATATTATGAAATAAAAGTAAAATAAAGCTTCAAATGCTATGATAAATATCATTTTTTACATATATCATACCTTGTGTTATTATGAGACTGTAAGATAACTTGAATTATCGTATAAATTAGTCATTTGTATAGTACATACATTATCATAATATAAAGTTAAACGTAATATATGTTATAGTCATTACAATGACTGGATAAATTATGTTCTAATGATAATTACAGTCATTTTCTTTATCTTAACACCTAATATACTGTCCATTTGAACCTGTTTACATTCAGGCCACCGACCCATCGTATAGCCTTATTAGAGTTTTATTCTACAGGTAAGTTCTTAAGTGGTCATAACCACCTCTTTATGGTCGCTTCAAAGGAGACTGACCACTACTCTAAGTATATAAATATAAATATGAAGCTACTACTAAAATTGCCAATGACTTTTCACTGAGTCTAGCGTTTATCACTTGTTGATGTTATTTACATACGATTTAAGGCTACGGGGTCAGACTCATCAGAATGTTGAATACAGACCTTGAGATATCTACCGGTGGTATATAGTAATATAGTCCACCAATCTGCATAATATTACCCTAGTTAAACATAATCAACTCATATTCACATGCTTTATTAAATAAACTTCAGCCCACAAATTTTCATATCAGATTAAAAATGTCGAAGTCATAGTTTGCATTCGCTTCCATTCTGTTTTAAAAAAATATTTGAAATTAGCAGTTGCTACTCACTGTTCTTGAAATGTTCGGACTAACTTGTGTGCCAAATTTCCGATGCGTAGTGTGATTCAGAATTTCTGATGGAATTGGCGTTTCATTTAGACTTTTCTTTTTGTATCCCAAAAGAAGTCACTTGACCTCTAAAGATTCATCTGGCAAATATTTTCGTCATATGTTCAATTTTATTTTGGTTACGTGCACGCTATGGGGTGTAGGGTGGGGGTGTTGGGGCATTATGCATAACCCTTGGCGTTATTCCGCCAAGGGGGTCACGGTGGCTAAGTGGCTAAGACGCTGGCTCGCTAGCCTGGAGGTCGGGTGTTCGATCCAATTATTGGCCGAGAAAGTACATTCAGATTTTCCGGCGTGGTTCCCACTTGTCAGTGATGCAGGACGGAGTGCCTGACAAGAACAGCTGTCTAGTTGTTCGGATGGAACGAAAAACCGAGGTCCCGTGTACACATTGGCGTGCGTGCACATATAAGTTCCCTTGATAGTTGGAATTCGATACAAGAGTAGGCCGTAGTGCCGCTGTTCGGGCAAAATTTCCCTCATAGCACGCTGTATGACGCGTGTCCGTCTTTATTAGCCCAGTTCGGAGCAGAACCGTATGACGTTAAACCCTATTTCATTTCGTTTTATTTCAGTTATTCCGCCAATTACGCTTATGGGGGTGGGCTTGAAAATCTCACATGTGCCCCACGGCCTTCCTTGACATAAAAATCAGGAACAATCTCGTGGTGAATCCAAGTTATCTAAAGAGTCTAAAAATAATATAGACCTTAGACAGTAAATTATGTTTTAAATAAATACAAAAGAACACAAGGTAGTCTTAATTAGATTACTCTAACCTCTCGTTTTGTTCTATATACATAAATATCATATCAATTTGATAAGGTACTTCCAATTTTGTCTTCAAAGAGTTTAACAGATACAGCAATAATTTATGTATGTTTAATTAGTACATATATATACATATTTAAGTGGACGTATTGTACACGTAGATTTAACAATGTTAATGGCGTATTGTTATGTTAATGATAAGAGCAGGAAGGTGTGATCCAGCATAATTGAATAGTTTGATAAAAAGATGTTAATAGAGAGAACATGGAAATACCCTATTATTTATTCTCTGTTTTACACGATTTTCAATTTACCCTATTGTTATCCCACGGGATGACAATACATATAAAAGTTTGGAGGGGTTTTACTTATTAACATAGTTTTATCGTTACTTTTGATACCATTAGTTGTGGTGACTTTTTAAAAATGTATGCCCATTGATAGCTGGTATTTAATAAATAGCACACTCTTTGAAGTCACCTACCTGAAACCCGGATTGTTATTACATAATATTATGAAAGCATGCACCTTGTTAGGACATGAAACAAAGTACAACTTATAGATCATATTTTAAGAGGTAATTTGTTCAACAACTCACTCACTCCCTTTTCTTTAAATACAAAATCCAGATTTTAAAAGTTTAACCCACATCTGTGAATATCTAAGTCCATTTCTAATTTCTAATTTTTTACATCTGATTTATAATTTGTATTGCCTGCGCTATTTTATATGTTGTTTTTCTAGCCATGATTTGTTAAACTTAAAAATGACAATACAGGTTTTACTGACACACCTGCATAAGCAATAACTGTCGTTTGTCTTACCATTAATTTTAAGTTGTTGTTAAGAAAGAACCATAACATTTTGACAAAAAGGAAAGTATCAAGACTAGTATAGTGGCTCATTTAAAGATAAATTATGTCAGAGCTTTATCTGTGTATAGTAGATCTTTTTTTTGTGGCTTCAAATGTTATATAAACTATTATTTGGGCACTTATTAACACAAGAATTAACCGTCTAGAACATCGGATGGTAGAGATTTAAAAATTAAATCAACAGTATCTATTTTTGAACTATTATAGTAAGAACGACCAGCTCCTGATCTAAATCTTACATAATGCATAGTTAAAGGAACTGTCGAGGTTATTTGTACCATTGATTAACTTGTGGAATCTTAGACGGTTCCTTTAATGGAAGTTATACTTTGTTTTGCACATTGCAAGGACAGTGAATTGTGGACAAATCGCACGGAACAAGTACCAACAAGAATCTAACAACGAACTCGAAGAAACACACTTTTTAAAATTTCAGACTAGAAAGATACAACAATCGAATAACACATATTATATACTACATGTATAATATTTCAAAACCTTATTTATTGAAAAAAAGTGTGGGACATTTTATGTTTGTGGCTTACAATGGCTGTGCTTATATGTATTTGATGGGGTAATTGTCAGTTACCGTCAGCTCATAGAAAACAAGTACCGAATTAAATAAATGAGAAAATGTGACATGTTTCTAGGTGACGCCCTGTATACACGTATAAACATTTATTAAATGACTTGACACAGGACAAAATCATAACCATCATTCTCTAAATCATCATCATCATCACCATTATCACCATTATCACCATTTAGTAGGAGGCGCTCCCTTCACGGAATCAGGAGGTTGGGTGATCTAATGGAGGCGCGTTGAATCAGGCGGTCATTTAGTCAAGTGACCTGGTTTCGATTCGCCGTTTGTACGTGACAAAGAGTAGGGTCGCCTATCCAGCCTCGTGGGTTTTTTCCGGGCCCTCCGGTTCCCCCTACTGCTAAAGATCCTTACGTGCAAGCGAATAATTGAAGTATGCGTCATACAA